TCAAGTTCTTGGAAAATGATTGGGTTAGAGCTCCGAGTAAAAAACACGGTTCAAAATCAACCAAATCAAAACTTGGGTCTATCAAAATTCTATAAAATAGAGAAAGTCTTTCTTTATTTTATCATCAATTCACTCAAACAAATGGAATTGAAGTCAACCAATAAAATCAATCATTTCTTCGTAAGTTGCAATTAAATATACAATTTTTTTTTTTTTACTCGAGAATAAGTTTATATGTCCTAAGATCAAAGTCAACGGACAAGAGAGAATGATTTGGAAGACGAACACTTTTATGAATCAATAAAATGTTATTTTTAAAATATCGTATAAACAATGAGACCTCCGTTTAATCTTTTCTATTTTTTTAACCAAATAAATAAGATGTTTCACTAAGGATATTTATTAATTTACTAAATTTTGATTTATTTCAAATTTCAATTTAAAGCTTGTATTTATTTATGAAAATAATTAAAATATAAAATTTATATTATCACATTTCCAACGATCTCAAAGGATACGTGTGTTAGAAGACGTCATTCGCTGACGTGTTGCTGACGTGACGAAAATTTTCGTGGTTTAGACGGTCTTGAATACGCCACATAGATAATCTTGAATGAAGAAATCATTGCCACGTCTTGAAGTATTCTAAGGATATATTTTTTTTTTTTGTAATTATTCCATACTATTTATTTCCAAAAAAAATTTGTTTTAATTCCTTATGATCTAGAATATATCTTGAATCGATTCAATGTAGAGAAGGGCTGAGTTGTAACCTTATTCTTGGGTTGGTTGGTTAGGTTATTCGACAAACAAAATGTCAACTTGCAAATCGACTCGAATTTAAATCGAAAAAAAAAAAAAGTTACTCAAGGTTGAATAGTTCAGTTTGGTCGAATTCTCGAGTCATTTGAATACCTCTATTATATTTCATGCCAGTAATAAAGGGTGATAGGTGCCTTCCATTAACCACTCTATTTGCATTCTCTAACACTGGTGACCTCGACATTCCTTTGCGTCTCCTGTGACATACCCTTGTGAATGCAGTAAATATTGGTTTGTTATTTTTATTTCTCATTCGTCTTGTGCTCTCGTTTTTCCTCCATTCAACGTAGCAGGAACATCGTTTTTGGAATTATCCTCTCCAAAATCTTTATCCTTTGCCTTCATCTTTGGATCGTCCTTTAAGAAAATATGATATTATTGATTTTGATATTGAAAGGTGCGACACTCGAATAAAAGAAAAGTATATAAATAAACTGACATCGTTCGGTTTTGGATAGAAATGAGGCAGGGTGAGTATGAAGTAAGAACGAATGGATAGTTATTGATGGGTCTGCATGTAAGAGAGAGAATCCTCTTGAAGAACAGAAATTTGACTTAACTTGTATCACATGCATGTCTGCAGGAAAAGATTGCCAGATTTTGAATTTTGCATGTTGCAAAGAGTAAAGGTGTTAGGAGGTGGCACTATTTTATTCTTATTTCACGGAGACGAATACGAGTGTCGTTCTAGAGTTGAGTTAGGTTGGAATAGAATTTTCTTTATGAATCACTTTCAAATTCCAAATTCCAAATTAATTGTATCTATGACTTTGAATGATTCGAGTAAGGTTTGTAATAAAACTCGACCCAACTCTTTATTTTTGAGTTGGGTCGGTGAATTATTAATTTTTTTTAAATCATCTTTAAAAAATTATACTTTTTATATTAATTACTAAAATCTCGTAAAATTGAAAAATAAAATATTTACAAATAGTAATGAATCACTAACGTTAATAACAAACATTAAATATTTTTAATTTTCATTTGAAATCATAAATTAAAACAAAATTCAAATCACATAAATTTCAAACATTAAAAAAAATTAAATATTACAAAAAAAAAATCTCAAAAAGTTAGTAATATTAAAATAATAATAATAATAATAAAAGATGGAGAATGCATTGTTCATCACTGTCATTTATTAAATCGAAAAAAAAAAAAGAATTCTCCTAATTTTGTCGCCCATTTTCCACTCCATTTGAAATATGAAGTCAAATGATAGGGTGTGAAATAATAATTTATTACAAGGAATAAAATAAAAATAAAAATTATGAAAATGATCTTTCAATGTTTTAAATTGACCATAAAATGAAGTCTATAATTGATCCCAATCATTTATCTAACTTTTTAATATTAATAATCATTTAAATAATTAAAAATTTATTATAAAATATATTATACAAACACGGTAGTCTTAGTACAACAAATATGAGGTATATAAACTTTTGAACTATGCTCATGTTGATATATTAATATCGATTATTTAAAACATGTAAAAATAATTATCTTTAATAAATGCTATTTTTTTTTTAAATAAAAATGAAAAAAACTTTTTCTAAATAAATATTAATTATTCAAAATTTTCATTTTATTTAATATAACTCTATTAAAAAAAAAAAAAAAAAACCTAAAGTCTAATGATGGCTTTCAAAGTTGATTAAATGTTACGGTTCGACTAAGAAAGAAATGTCGGAGACTCATTCTAGGATACCTTGGTTTAGACAGATAAGGGAAATTACCTAATCTCCTTCTCTATTCTTGTTTGTTATTCTTCACGGTAAACAACGTCTCGAATGCTCGAGTCAAAACGAAAGGTAAGAAACCGATTATACCTATCACTTACAGAAATCGAACACGTGTTTTCAATATGAAAAACGATGTCTAATCACGAACGTATAAAAATTCAAAAAGTATAAACGCAAGTTTCAAAACTCCATGTCAAACAATTTTCGACCTCAAATATAAACTTATTTAACTCAAATTAAACAAGTTTTCACACAAATATACTACGGAGAAATAATTCATTATCCAAATTCGATCCCCACAAATTTACTATAGAAAATTTCAGCTTCATTCTCCACGAAAATAAATAGAGAATTTCACAGGGATCAAAATAAGGGGCGGCCTCATGGACATCTCTATCGAGATGCCATACCTAATTCACTTTGTCTTAAATGTAGAAAATCTCAACCAAGAAAGAAATAAGATGATTGATTAAANTTTTTTTTTTTTTTTTTTTTTTTTTTTTTTTTTTTTTTTTTTTTTTTTAATAATTGATTGAGATAGGGCCTTCATCTTGTCTTCCACGTTCTTTATCGCCAGCTCAGATATGACTAGTAATAGTATTATGACGTCAACAATATTGCGTTTATTTTGACGTCATAATATTTTTCTTCTAACCTCAATTTAATCTAACATTTAGACTTTATCTTATATTTATATATTAGTTCCTAGAATTTTTAATACTTTTATTTTAGTTTTTAAATTTTTATCGCGATTTATTATTATTACTATTATTTACTCAATTATTTTTAAAATATCTAAACGTCTAAAACTAAGTTTTTATTGATTGAATCTCTTTCTAATTGAAGCTAGAAAACGTGATAGTAGGTAGCGGAGGACATACTTTCAATAATCATGTTGACGTGAAAACAATTATTTCACAATTATTCTTCGACATGAGTTGCTAGTAAACTACAACAATCGCTTTTGCGAAATACACCGACTAATTCTTACCTAACAACAGCTCCTTCAAACTAAATGGATCAACTTTCATCAATAAAAAAAACGTAACTTTTTTTTCTATTAAAAAGAAGAAACAAGAAATGAAACGTTATTAAATTAGCATAAATTTTCATCAAATATGTGAATAATTTGGTTGGCATTATTTCTACACATTAATAAATTCAATATCGAGATAAGGGGTTAATTAACATTTTTCAAATATGTCAAGAAAATATTTGCAAAAATACTTGTTTATTGTTTAAATATTAAAAATCGATTTATTGTTTTTAAAAAATATGATTTAGTTTTGACATTTTATCCATATTTTAAGATCGAGATCTTGATATTTTTGTCATTATTGATATCTAAAATTTGAAATTAGTGGTGCATTTGATCATCATCACTATTATTATTATACAATTAAAGATATGAAAGAAAACTTTTTGCTTTAATTTTGTACTTCGTCACAACTATTCAGACCAAAGTAAATATAATAATAGAGGGGTGTACTCTTTCGTGTACGCATGTGATCAAAACCATAGATATAAAACATCATGATCTAATATTAGAGATGTAAACATCATAATATAATGGATCAAAGTATTTATATAATAAAGTGGTGTATTTTTTCATGTATGCATGTGATCAAGACCATAGATATAAAACATCATGATTTAATATTAGAGATATGTAAACGTCTTGATATAATAGTGGACAAAATATTACTATCTAATGAAGTCGAGATATGTCTAAAAAGACAATCTTACCTCCTTTACTCATTAAAATCTTATAAATTCATTCTTTAAATAGTTACGAGGTCGAATCGGGTAGTATACGAAAAACTTATATTTTGGTTGTTTGGTAACATCTTTTTGAGTTTTTAATGTAAATTTTTATAAGAGAATTTAATTACAATGGACTTCAGCAGACCACTTCAAGAAAAAAAAAAAAAGTGCTTATCTAAATAAACCCACCCATTAATATTAGTGTATAAATAACTTATCCAACATAATGTGCTCAAATACTTTATTTTAAAAAGTATATTACAGATAGACTCTGACAAGTAAAAATCAAATACTTTTCTAAATAGATAATTATAGATAATCACTAACAAATAAATTATCTTATCTAACTAAACTTTAATTTTGAATGTTGTGAATATTTTACTTGTTGGTTTAGTATGTGAAAGGGCACAAATATACGACTTAATTTAAAATAGTCAGTTACTTTATACTATATGGTATATTTTTTAACATTTGTTCAAGGTTCTTAAATTTTGATTTAGTGTTTCGTAGCTCAATTTCATATCTAATAAGTCTTTTGTTAATTTTGGGAATAATTATGGAACCGACAGACCGACCAATGCACACTGATCAGTTTTGGGAGTTTGTCAAAGCTGTTGGGGTGTTTTGATCAGCGGTGGGACTGATTAGAAAGAAGACGAGAAAGAGAAAGGAGAATGACAAAAACATTTCAACGATAATAATGATCGACATTGACGTCGATCGTGTCTTGGAAGATATTAGAGTGTTCAAGTGGATCTGTACTAACGACCCATGTGATCTAGTAGAGAGAGATTAAAGAACTAAATAACAAATATCGAACGGGGAATATCAAACCTGGACCTCATAATGTTTCAGCAAAACCTTTTCTTTTCAGTGTGGTGTCTTAAACAGGGCTCTACTGACGATGCCGGTGGCCTCAATATAGCGTTCCATGCACCTGGAGATGCAACTGCTCTCGCTCCCACTTAGGCTTGACCCTGGCTTTGTGATGCACTTGTCAAAGCACTTCACTCTTAAGGTCTGCGAGAAAGTGCGAGTTAGCAACTCAAATTTGCCCAAATTGAGGGAAGATAATTAATAAATATAAGAGCATTACTTAGGTCTATCTTAAGCTCAACCCATCTTTTTGCAGCTCACTCAAATCATATTTCAGCAAAAAAATTCAAAAATAGTTCGAAAAAGAATAAGAAAGAAGAGTTTGTCACGTGTCACGTGTAGTCGGACATCTAGGTGGGCTGCAAAAAGATAGGTACAGCCCAGAGACTGGCTCATGAATATGGGAATTTGAACCTCCAACTTAAAGAAAAGGATTACCTACTAATTACTGTTAAGCTAGAAAATTATTATCAAGAAGATATTACAAAGAACACACAAGGTGCAAACTACAGAGAACCCCAATGTGTATATCAACTTTTGCAGTCCCCTCTCCACTCTAAATACAGCAGGTTCCCAATGAGTTTTGTAATGGCTTCCTCCAAGAGGCATATGGGGTACTTAAGTCAGCAGGGCGATTAGCCCCTTCAGTGGCTTGTCTAATACCTGGTTGTGACACCTTCGGATCACAAATATAGATACCCAAATCATAACTTTCCTCACATTAATCTTTAAGGTTCAAGAACATGGTAAAAATGTGAAGAATATTGCAGAGGCCATCTGTCCATTTATCATTCTAGGCTAACAAGCATGAACACTTTAGTTCGTTAGAGTATCCATGTCTGAAAAACACTTCGACACTTGTTGAACACGTATTGGACATTTATTAGTGCAATTGACGTGTTAGACACCAGTTATACAAAGTCAATATAGGTCCAACGTCCTTCTGATAGGCACGCATCCAAACACTTGATTTGGAAGCCCTTCCATCTATGTTTTTTTTTTATAAAAAACCAACTTGCATTGAGAAAACAAATGAAAGAATACAAGAGAATACAAAAACAGAGCCTATAAAAGGGTGCACCCCAGAGTAAAGGCTTCCAATCTCGCAAAATGTGACCTAGTGAATAGTTACAAAAGGCACTCATTACCGACGCTTGCAGAGCTACCAAAGCAGACTCAGGTGGAGAAAAACCCTGAAGTTTGATCACGGAAAGATTTTGGTTTAGTGTTGAAAGGTTATCCCATTCTTCCATTTCCTTTCAAAGAGTCCTATGTTATAGCTTTTTCAAAAATCTCCGAACATGAGGTGGTTGCAACGATTGAGTAATGAGCATGTGGCTGGCGTCTAGCTTTTCTACTACTAGGTTCGCCTTTGGGAGGGTGTGAATGTTTGATTAATCCACCACACCCAAATAGTGTGAAAGTTATCTTATTTATAATCAAATGAATTACAAAGATATGAAAATAGTAATAAATGGAAATAACAATAAATGGAAAGATACCTATGATAATAAGGCAAATATCTAAAAATATCAAATATAATATATATGGTAAACTATAATTTATTACTAAATATCCTTAACACCCCACCGCAAGCTAAACGTCGGATTTAAACGAACGTGAAGCTTGAATCTGAAAAATTCAAAGAGGTTGAGAAACACTTTTCATGAAGATGCTAACAACCCGGTTCTTGGCTATCAAAAATTGCAGAGGGATGCTGCCTTGGCTTCGGCGAGAATATGTCTAACCCATGAAGAGGGATTGTCGCTTAGCGACGATGCTGCCTTGGCTCTGGTGAGAATATTTATAACCCCAAGAAGTAGAAGGGGAAACCTAGAGTAAGGGACAAAGACAATGTTGAAGTCGGAAGAGTCGCCACATTGGGCGAAGGAGCCAATTTTGGCGAGAAGGGCAGTCGGAAGAGTCGCCTCATCGGGCGAAGAAGCCAATTTTGGCAGGAAGGGCGGCGGCAACTTGGTTGGCGAATAGGCCAGTGCAGCACCCAGATTCTGAAGGTAAATCTCTGCAAAAGATTGATAGGTTGATTGGGAAGAAAATGAGAGAGACTATATTGGCCAAGGGGAAAACCGATTTGGTTGGAAAATGTGAGGTTGTATGTACAGAGTATGACGAAAGGTGATTTGGAGGTCAATAGGGTGGAGCCGAAGAGTAATCAATCGGCTCCGACTACGGCAGCCATGAAGACTGCCCCTGCGGCGTCAAAACCAGCAGGGGTGGTGGAGAAGAAGATTAGAGGATTCAAAAGCCATTGAAAAGAAAGGATCGAGGTTGTTAAACCGAGAGAGCTCTGATACCATGTGAATGTTTGATTAATCCACCACACCCAAATGGTGTGAAAGTTATCTTATTTATAATCAAATGAATTACAAGGATATGAAAATAGTAATAAATGAAAATAACAATAAATGACCAAAATGGTGTGAAAGTTATCTTATTTATAATCAAATGAATTACAAGGATATGAAAATAGTAATAAATGAAAATAACAATAAATGGAAAGATACATATGATAATAAGGCAAATATTAGATATTTGCCTTATAATAAAATATCAAATATAATATATATGGTAAACTATAATTTATTACTAAATATCCTTAACAGAGGGAATCGGAAGCAATCCTTCTACGAACCAATTGTTGAGAAAGTGTAAGCGTGTAGGAAATTGGACCTTTGGAAGAGTTTATTCCTGTCAAGAGATGGAAAATTAACTTTAGCCAGATTTATCCCGAGAAGGGGCGGCTATTTTGGCAAAAGTCTTGAATGAAACGTCGGTAGTAACCAGCTAATCCTAAGTAACTAGGTATCTCAACGACAGTAGTTGGACAAGTCCATTTGGTAACGGCTTCCACCTTGACACACCCTTCTTAGATACCACATGCCCAAAAATGAAACTTCGCGTAACCAAAGTTCACACTTCGAGACCTTGACATATAGTTTGTTTTCACTCAGAATTGTCAGGATCTTTCTCAAGTGCATATGATGTTCTTGATCTGTCTTCGAGTATACCAAAATATAGTCTATGAATACTATGACAAAAATAACAAGACATTTCTTAAACACTCAATTCATCAGTTCCATGAACACTACAGATGCATTAGTGAGTCCAAATGACATAACATGAACTCATATGGCCATAGCTTGTTCTGAAAGTTGTCTCGGTATGTCCTCATTTTTTATCTTGATCCAGTGGTAACCTAACTGTCAATTTTTTAGAACATTGTTGCTTCCCTGAGCTGATCGAATAAGTCCTAAATGCGTGGAAGAAGATACTTGTTCTTCACCGTTCTTTTGTTCAGCTCCCTGTAATCGATGCACAAGGGCATCGAACCATCTTTTTTCTTGACAAATAATACCAGCGCACCCCAAGGAGAAACGCTGAGTCTAATAAATCCTTTATTAGTTGTATTAGAATTCTTTCAATTCAACTAGCGCCATACAATACGAGACCTTAGAGATAGGACTCATACTTGGTTCCAACTCTATTCCAAAATTAACATCTCGTGACGGAGGAATTCTTGACAAATCCTCTAGGAACACATCAAGTAATTTATTTGCAACTGACATTGTGGTTAAGGGAGTTTCTTCCTTTTTGGTATCCATGACACTAGCTAATACGACCCACGCTTCGTGCTGAACCAACTTCTTCGCTTTCATCATTGATATCACTTCAGGCATAATTCCTAAACTCATACCATTGAATTTGAAACTGGTCTTGAACGGTGGCGTAAATATCAGTTCTTTCTTGTAAAAGTCTAGGATAGAATAATTTTCCACTAACCAATCCATTCCCACAACATCATATACAGTCATGTGAACTACCATTAAATCTACCTCTAGGTTAAGTCCTGATACTAACACATAGACTATCTTTTACCCTATAAGCAGCAATCAAGTCCACCCTGGCCGAGGTGCTAACAGAGAATTCATGCAACAAATGTTTTGATACAAATTTTTACGTTTTAATATAAATTTTGCTTAATGAAAACATATATAAATGAATGTGTAGATCCCGAGTCAAATAGTGTTAAAGAAAGGTAACCAAGAACAAATAGTGTACCTGTCACCACCGCATCAAAATTCCCAATATCCTTGCCAGTAGAGGCATAAGCTCTTGTCGGAGGACAGTTTTGAGTAGGATCCGCTATGCTTAGTCTCCCCTGCTGGTTTCCAAAATCATTCGCGCAACCTCCTTGGCAATATTTAGTTGTGACCCTCCTTTTCACATTGAAAACAGGCTCTGGTATGGGCCAAACATTGACCCCAGTGATTTTTCCCACACTCATTACACTGAGGTCTATTATATGGTCGGCTTCCATTTCTTTGCTGACCACGCCTAGTATCACGGTACTGTCTGTCAGGTCGTTGTTGTGGCTGTAATGGCAATGGATCATGACAATCAACCTAGTCATGACATTGCTTTCGTTTCACTGTCGATGGAGGGGGTTCAGGAGATTCATCAACTCCCTCTATGGCCTTAGCGGCTCTCAATGCAGCAACATAGGTAGTAGGTGATAACGTCTCAACAATATGGCGGATCCTCTTGTCCAACCCACGTACGAACCACCATGTTGTTCTGTAGTCAGTGTTCACCAACTCTGGGGCAAAATGTTTCATTCTGATAAACTCCCTAGCATATGTGGTAACAGAACGCCCCCTTTGACTTGAGTAAACTTTTGCTGCATACGAAATTGAATGTCCTCAGAGTAGTACTCTTCCATAAAGGCATCCTTGAATTCCGCCCACGAGATTACACATCCCTCAAGACTAATAATCTCGCTGGTGGACTGCCACCATAACTCTGCATCATCACGCAACATGAATGTTACACACCGCACCTTTTGATCATCAGGGCAATTGATCAACTCAAACACGATCTCTATAGATCTCAACCATAATTGTGCCACGGTTGGATCATCTGAAGACCCATTAAAGGTTTGAGGGTCAACCCTCTTGAAATCTCGCAAACACTTTGCTTGTCTAGTTGATGATGAAGCATTTCTCGGTTGAGTAGTAATCATAATTTGCACAACAGCTTGCAATGCTTCTATTAGAGCAGCAACAGGGTTTGGTGCGGCCTGAGGTATCGCTGGTGGTGGGAGTGGCACAGTTACATCGGGCTAGTTTACAGAATTATCCCGTTTCGAACCTCGACCTCTTCTACCACTTCTTCTACCCATAGGTGGGGGTCGTCCCCAAATTTCTCCACCTCGTGTTCTAGGTGGCATACTCTATACAAAAGACGTAACTACTAAGTTACTTACTTAATTAATAGGCTTCAATAAACAATCATACAAATACATGTCACACGTACGTACAATCTTTACATTATCATAACCATCGTATTATACCTGTCATAACATATTTAATCTTGTGACGTCATATAACATATTTAATCTTGCCACATCATAAATCATGCTAACATTTACAACATATAAATTGTATCATACCTTAATTAAAATAGTAAAATTAACATATTGCATGCATCATTTAACTAAACAATTATTATCCTTTAAAAGCATACCAAACGGTGACGGTACTTTTGTTGGAGAACCCTGGAAGTATGCTCTACCAAATCTAAAACCTAGGGCTCTAATACCAAACGGTAACTCCCTAATTTTCTTAACCTAAACATCTTAAATCATAAATTACGGAAATTCATAATAAACATCTTTAAAATAAGGGTATGGACTTGCCTAATCAATTCAAAACATGAAATTCGGGGCAGGGTTGGATGTATGGTATTTTTCCACACATGGGCCCACCAAACAGGCTCGTATACGTACCCCTGGGCTCGACTTGGTCGAACACATCGCATTACACTCCACCAGATGCCACAAAAAGAAAATGTCTGCATGATATCATGGCATACATAAATATCAAATGTATGCATCCATACTAACATAACATAATGGGGAAGTATCCCGATGCATATGACATACAAACATGCATGAGGTCCTGTGATTAACTCCAATAGTAAGGTCACTTACTTGGTTGGCCTTGGCTGAAGTCTCTAACAATTTGGTAGTCGTCTCGAAACTACAATCTAACACCTAACTCTTACCTATGAAAATTCATATAACATGCTTAGGGCCTATTAACTTAACTTAGCTGGACATCATGCTTAATTCCAATATAAGCTCCTAAGCTAATTAAACTTGTAAAAAAAGTCTTACTAACCTCAAATGACTTAGATAAGGTCAAAAATGGATTCATAATGATCGAAAACCTAAAAATCGATATATTATAGTATACCGAGCCGTCTAAGCCGAGAAACTGAGCCGAGCAAAACGATAAACCTGAGCAGAGCAAAACGATAAAGCCAAGCCAAGGATGCATTGAAGTCGAGCCGAGGATGCATTGAAAGGAGTCGTGGTTGAGAGTTGATCACGTGTTGGCCACGTGCGGCGTTGAAGGAAAACACGGGCTGTCAGGTTGGGCCGAAACTGAATGGACTAGACCTCCTTTGGGCTGGACAACGTAAACAAACTTGCAGCTTAGACGCGCGATGGGTATGGGTCGCGACTGTTGAGCCACTGGGTTGAAGGCTAAAACAACGTGGGCTGCTGGTTCGCCTGGGCTTAGAACTTGTGGGCTAAATCGAAACGAGTAGGGTCTGAATGACTGACCCAACTCTTCATCTTCTTCGTCCGAAAGTGCAGTCGAAAACCCTCGTTTCTTTCCCATTCGTTTCCGACAAGATTTCCAGCGCCAACTTTGTGCAATTTCGTCGTCATTTGTCCACAGGAGATTTACACAATAAAACCACAATATTTGTACGCTCCTAAATGGGAATAAATACCTTGCACAATAAAACCACAATATTTGTACGCTCCTAAATGGGAATAAATACCTTGCTGAAAATCGCGTGATTTTCGACAAGATTAAATGTCTATATATATATTTTTTTTTTTCCAAATCAATCCGTTAGAGATGATAGCTTCCAAAAACAAGTGGCAAGAGAAATTGAAAGCACAATCATTTTAAGGGCTCTTAGTCCCATATTTCGGAGTGCATTCAATTTTTTTTAATAAGTAGTACAAGACAAAGGAGGGCAAAGGTAACAAAACCCTGTTTTGGAAGGATCATTGCCTGAACATTGAACCTTTATGTCCTTCCTTCCCTAGTATATTTAGCATGCCGAAGTCCAAAGATCCTATGGTAGATCAATGCTAGTTGGGCTTAAATAGTAGCTGAAATTCAAATTTTAGAAGAAATCTTGGGAATCCAGAGGTGAAAGAGAGGGCTCAGTAAAAGTAAGGTAGGATAGTTGCCTTTATATAATTAAAAAAAATAAGTTTTTTCCCCTTGTTTTCAAGTCTTGCTCTATCTTGTTTTTTCACTACTGAATCCTGTTTTTGGTGTTTGACCGAATGTGACTTTTCATGGATAACTAGCTTTCCAGGACTAAGTAAAATTATTTTTCCTTTCAAGATCATGATTTGTGTATAATGACATCAATGTGCAATGTGCCTAACCAAACTAACCTTTACATCCACCCCCATAATATGGAACCACGTTCATTCAAGTTTCCAGCTGTTTTGTAAGCATTTCCTAAGAATAAATGACCTACGATTGTCCCATCAAATCCTAAAATGGCCTATTTGTCTATAGTCCGTGTCTGGTGGTCATCTCTAGTTTTTGATGAGGGCAAGAAAGGTTCAACCACGACTGTTTCTCAAAACCTCGAGAAATTATTTATAATCATCCACTTCCACCTTCATTAACTCTTCCTCGTGTGTTAATCTTGAAGAAACTCTGAATCACAACAAGAGAGAGAGCCCCCTTCTACCCGTTTATGTTAACCTCAACATGAAATCAGCTAGAATGACTCATCGAAAATAAGTTTAAGGCACAAAACTACAAGATTCTTGTGAACTAATAATCACCAAGAATGACTCATCGAAAAAGAAATTCTAGAACACATGGACTTAATATTTCTACATCTTCAATTAGAAAAAATAAAATATGAGAATATAAAAAACAAGTTCGAACTAGAACTGAGAAAAGAGAACGCAAACGATTCCGTTTGATGTTGCGTTAGAACACTACAAAATCCAAAATCTAAAATCGACAGCCTAAAAACTGGCATCGATTAATTCCTACATCTCATCGTTAAAAGCCAGATCGCATCGCTATCCAAACATCAAAACCAGAAATTACTAATTGATTTCTCTAATTTCAACCGTCACATAACACGCAATAGCGAAACGCATTCATTAAACCGACTACTCTAAGAGGTCCAGATACACATACAGATCGATGACTCAACCAACAAATTTGGAAGAAAAGAAACAAGTAGAGTGAACTTGAACCTCAAGAAACTCCTCGGCGTACGCCTGAGCAAGCTGAGTCTTGAGCTGGTCCCTGAATTCGTTGGGCGAAAATTGGGAAGAAGAACCGCTTGAAGGCGATGAAAATGAATCCATTTGTTCGGAGCTTGCAAAACCCTATAAACCACAGCCCTTTTGTATTTGAGGCGACGGCTGTGGGCCGCGTTTGGTGCCCTTCAAACAACCTAGCTGAGCCACTAAACTAGTTTCGAAAATGGGCTCAATTCTTGGAAAAGTGCTCAAAAACACCCAAAATCAAAAACTTAAAAAAAAATAATTAATTAATTTCTTAGTCATTAAAAATTAAATTCCTTTACAAAAATCTAAAAAAAAAAAAAAAAATTATCACGTAGAAAAATAAGGGTAAAATATGGGGTTTGCAATTGCATGGAGTGCGAGGTGTCACGGTCATACTTTTCAAACCATATGATGTCATGATTCTGACACGATCATCATCACTGTTAGTAGATATTGTCTGTTTTGGCCCGTTATATGTCACTTCTAACCTCACAATTTTAAAACAAGCCTATTAGAGTGAGATTTTCACACCCATATAAGAAATGTTTTGTTTCCTTCTTTCCTTCTCCAACCGATGTGGAATTTCACAGTCCATTTTAAAACTGTGAGGCTGACGGCAATATGTAACGGGCAAAAGTGGACAATATCTACCAGCTGTGGGCTTGGCTGTTACACTTTTTCATCCGGTTATACAAATTCGTTGAACCTTAAGCGAAGTTCTTCTTTGCCGATTGAGCAAACTCGTGGAAACTAAGCTTCGAATGACAACTTTAGTCAGTTTGCCTCTCCTCTCCACTACAAGCAGTTTTGAAGGAGATGCACGTTACCGTCACGAACCCTTTTTCTTTAAATCTTATTTTGGTCATCATTTCTTCCTTTAATGTCTAATAGGAGCGCTTTAAAATGCTACTATGAAATACTCAAAATACTAAAATCAATAGTAAATTAATTTTTTTCATTAGAACATATAGTATAATTGGAGCTCACATAAACTCTCGATTTCATGACGGGATGGAGAATGATATTCATTCGACACTTGAAAAAAAATTGTAAGAGGCTTGGATACCGAAAATAGATATCGCATCTCGTGCTACTAACAGAGACCAAAGATAACAAGGCTATGATCTTTGTTGTTTCTAAGACAAACATGGAAATATAGTTCTAATGATTTCTGCAAGCCAAACATATCTTGTTGAATAGTCTTCGAAGAGTGACATAAAACATGAAGTCGTGAGCTTCCAAGTAGTGGAAAGAGACCAAAACGTTATCGCATGTTTGTTGAAGAATGAGTTGGACTACATTAAGGATTGGACGACCGCTTTCGCTATTGAAAAATGTGTTACGAAAAAGACTCAGAGATATAAAACTGATTACCATTTTTTTCAATTAGTTTTTTTATTTTTTTAAATGTTATTATAAAGGAAATAAAAAATAGAAAAAGAAAAAAGAGAAAAACATGATGAAATGGGTCTCAAATGGAAAAAAATATTGCATCATTTTTTAATAATTTCAGCGACGAAATTAAGTAAAAAAGAAAAAGAAAAAAAGAATAAATAGGTACTTTAAAATAATCGCAAAATTGGGAAAAGGACCGAAAGTAGAAATAAACTCAAATTGATAGATCACTTTAAAGTGCTTCAAAAGATATCACTTAATGGTCCTTCTAATAGAACTTTTCTTTTTTTCATCTTCTTTTATATATCACTTTATTAATGTATTTAAGTCAAAATTAGTTCAAATCTTCCTCATCTAATTGATTGTTATGTTTGAATCTTCGAACAAAATCGTTCCTCAGAGTGGGTCGCACCAAGAGAATGTCCACGTTTCGTCGCAAAGCTCATTTCGAGTTGTGGATCATAAAGGGTTTGTGTGATTAGGTGTCGGAGTTCAAGGGTCTTAGTACCATCTATGTGCGAAGAACCATGGAAGTGACTACAATGAGTAGAAATCTCAATTACTGACCTAAACGACGAGCAAACACTCAAATGTGTGAGAGCAATGGATCTTATCCATAATAGATGACAAATCTGAACAATAATATGTAAATAACGGTCAATCTAAATAATTTTAAGAATTGAAATACTTACATAAAGTTATTTTTTTTTTTTTGCCCCCAACCTCAGCAATAAACTAGCCTTTAATGAGGTAATTTTTACACAGACAAAGGGTATAAAAGGAAAAGAAAAAAGAGAAGAAAAAGAAGAGCTTTTGTCTCAAATTATAGCTAAGTCATGATGATAAGTTATTGCAAGTGAAAGGTCTTGATCATGTGAACCAAATATTCAAAATATCTTAGATACTATTTGAGAGTATTTTGAAAAATAGCTTTTTATTTTTTGTAAAAGCATTTTCTCATTATTTATTTGTGCGTTATGAATCATAAAAATGCACTAAAAATCTTTTTTTTCTTTTTAATGAAAAAATATATTTTTGTAAAAAAGAATTTAGTTCTAAATTTTTTTTTTATTTATTTTTTTATTTTATTATTATTATTATTATTATTATTTGTCCATGAGCTTTGAAAAAGTGTTTAATAGATTTTCATATTTTAAAATTTATTATTTATGTCTAAAAAATTTAAGAAAAATAAAAAGTTTTTGAGAATAATTGATTATTAAATATAAATTTGAATTTTATATTTAATGAAGGTAAAATTAAAAAAAAAAAAAAAAAAAAAAACTTATTAAAATTCAAATAATTTATTTGATATTAATTAAATAAATCTATATTAACACAAAGTAGAAATAATTAAATAAGCTAACCAACACCCTANAAAAAAAAAAAAAAAAAAAAAACTTAGATATTAAATTTATAATTTTAAATAGTTTAAAGTTCAAAGGTTAATTTTGTAATTTAACCTATAATTTTTTTTTTTTTTTAAAGATTTGCTCTTTTCTCTTTTATAATATGGCAAATCTTGGGATCATAAAAAAAAAGAAAATAAAAATAAAAAAAGAAAATAAAAAGGATGAAAAGACATGTCAATATGTGATAAAAATGATGGGGGTGGGAATGAATGGTATTTCGAGCTCTATATATATATATATAAATTGAAACGAATAGATGTTTGGATCGTTCACTCATTCTAGGTCACCGTCACACTCTTCCAGGACCATTACTTTCGTTCGATTTTTTAATAGATTTATACTTCAAATGTAGTTTTAAAACGTTTATGATAGATTAAGAGTAAAATAGCAAACATTTGACCAATGTTTCAAAATTACTCTCCGTATAAAAATCTTGTTTAAAATTTTGCATAGAACGTGAAATCTAAAAGTGTGGGGTTGTGGCAAAAAATAAAAATTTGGATCGTTCATCAATTTTAGGTCATTATCGTACTGTATTAAGTTTCTAACTTCCATTCAAAAATTTTACGATAGATCAAACTTAATTTAATACCTTTTAAAAAAATAAATATATTTTTGAAATAAATTGAAAAATATGAGCTGCCAAACATATATGCAAAGGTTAGTAAAGATGAAAGGAAAAGTTGAATGTCTCAAGTTCCCAAATGGCTTTACTTTTTTATGTCATGGTGTACTTATTTCCTCCTATAGTTTTAATAAAGGAAGAAATATTATGACTAATCATTAATGTCCTTTTTTTTTTATTTTCTAAATTAGGATTAAATTCAAATATTTAAATCTTTCTTTCATAATAATATAAACAAAAATAATAATTATAGTTACTCATTAAATACTATATTGATTTTAAACTATGATTAATTAACTAATTTGTGAATATGTTTTAGGCTAATATGTTATATTACTATATATATTGATTTTAACAAAAATGAAACCACGTCATAATATAAAACATTATACTTATAAAAAAAATAATAGACATTGTCTTTTTTATGCTTTTCCTTCGAGTGTTCTCTCAGTTTTTAAAACGCATCTATTTGGGAGAGATTTCTACACTCTGATAAGAAATACTTCGTTCCCCTCTCCAACATATGAGATTTCACAATCCACTCTCCTTAGAGACCCAACGTCCTTTCTGGTGCATCGCCCGATGGCTGACTATGATACCATTTGTGACAGCCTACGCCCACCTCTACCAGATATGGTATCTTTAGACTTTCTCTCAAGATTTTTAAAATGCATTTATGAGGAGGAGGTTTCCACACTCTGATAAGGAATGTTTCGTTTCCCTCTCCAACCGATGTGAGATTACACAATAATGTAATTATGAAATTTAAAATTTCACCTCGTGGGCTCTCATATTTATACTTATCTCCTTTGAACAACTATTGTCGAACTCATACAATACGTCGATGATGTTAATGGGAGATATGTAATGATCTTTGGCTAACCTAATAGCCTGCTTGAGATCCTATTTCTTTTTGGGTAGCTAATCATTGGATCATTGGATCAACCTCGTGGTCAACCAAGGTTTTGAGCTTGGTCGGTTTGAGTTTGGTGAGTTACTAACTGTTCGAGTAACTCAAACTAAACACGTTTATATTCTTTTTTGAAACATAAACAACATGGTTAGTGATCAAAACACGAAATTAAACACTTTCAAAACGACATAATATGAAATAATAATTAGCTTTTTAAGATACATAGGGTAATAGAATGAGATTCTCTTAAAAATTAGGTTAACTTCGGAGTGGAATATGTTATGCCAATTTGATTCCTTTGTTCGGAAACAAAAGAAGAAAATAATAGAGAATTTTGGTGAAACATTTGTTACTGTTAGATTCCAAAAGAGCATTAATTAACGGATGTGATTGAATTCAATAGTGAGATGTGAGATAAGAAAAGAAGCAACAAACTTAATGGGTACATTTATTAGGGTTTTGAAAGAATGTGAAAGGTGGAGAAGAGTGGGTAACCATGAAAATAAATTTATAACCAACGGTCATCAACATTCAGAAACCAACAAAGAGTACTTTCAGATGGTCTAGAATAACAGAATCTTTATGGTCTGTGGTTGTCGGTCGTAAACATGCTCTTAATATAGCCATGTTCGAAGAATCTTTGAATGTTGAACAAAGATGAGATTTGTGGTTGAGTAGGAGTTTTTCGCATGGTTCGAGAATCTCATCAATCTAGTCTATTCAAACCAAACCATAAAGGTTGAGTTTGGGTCGAGTTGAATTTTTGAAAAACTGAGAATTTCAGTAGATTTGCAGGTTGACATGA